TTGGTGGTGATTTATTTACACCCACACAGCAAGTAGGCTGGCTGAGTATCACTGGAAGCCCAGTTTATTTCCTGGTTTAGCTACAATTGTATCATTTTGAAAATTCAGAAACTTAAATAGTTGTAACATGTTATATCATCCCGAAGCCAGTCACAGTGCGATACAAGTCTCAACAAAGACCCGGTGGGCTATCAGGAAGCAATGAGTGGGGACATAAACAATGATTGTTCGTTTTCCGGCGCCTTAAAATGACGTCACGCACAGGGCATGGGTGCACTTCCGGTCTTCAGCTGCCAGGCTCCGGATGTTGTTATTACAGTGCGTGAGAGGTCGGCAGGCGGCTGTTTGGAGTGACAGTACGCAGAAATGAAGAAATTATTCCAGGGTTTAAAGAGTGACATTAAATTCAAGGCCGCGGGGCCAGGGCATAAACTGACCGAGGAGAGCAAGGCAGAAGCCCCAAAGGCTAGCAATGTACCTCCAAAACCAAGGAGTCCTCCCACTGGGGAGGCTCAGCTAGCAGCAGCCTCAGCAGCTATGGCCAGGATAGAGTCACAGGGCAGGGCCAAGGCACCAGCCAAGGACCCCATCAGGGCTCAGGTGAGGAAAGAGCTGGAGGCAGCTCAGGTGAGTGAGGGGGCAGAATGCATCAAAAGCAACACTGAGAAAAAAAGTAAAACTGCATCTGACATTTGTAACATCCTGTTTAAATGCCCACTGACTGGTGACCTGTTGAAGAAAGATGAGAGAGAGAAGCACATCACAGAGCTCATCCAAGCGTTGTCTGTCAGTGATCCAGCATCTGCCTCCATCATGAAGATTCACACGTTTAACAAAGATAGAGAAAAGGTCAAGGTGGGAGTAGAAATAATGACCAAGTACCTTGATAACATCGTTGGTCACCCTGAGGAAGAGAAGTATCGCTCCATCAGAATGTCTAACAAAGTGTTCCAGGAGAAGATAAGTCATTTGGAAGGAGCTCATGAATTCTTTGAAGCTGTTGGGTTTGAGAGGAAGACTCAGCCTTTGCCTGGACAAGAGACCCAAGATGAATTCTTCATTTTGAGCAGTGAGGCGCTGGAAAAGCTGGATTTGCTTCAAACTTACAGAGATTCTCTAAGCAGCGGAGAGCCACTAAGGGCCACTTTGGAACGCCAACCACGGGTCTTCACACCGTCAATCCAGGCTGCACACTTTGATCTCCCTGATGACTTCTACAACCTGACAGCTGATGAGATTAAACGGGAGCAGAAATTAAGGACTGAGGCTCTTGAGCGAAATGCAATGTTAAGAACCAAAGCGATGCGAGAGAAGGATGAGCAACGTGAAATGAAGAAATACAATTACACCGTGCTAAGAATTAAATTTCCAGATGGCTACATTTTGCAAGGCATGTTTTATGCTCGGGAACGTGTTTCTACACTATTTGACTTTGTCCGGCAGCACCTTCAGAACGATTGGCTGCCATTTGAGCTGATAGCTCCTGGAGGCCAGAAGTTGGAAACCGAGGAGGCTGCATTCAATGAGAGCGGTTTGGTTCCATCTGCCCTGTTAATCTTCCGCTGGGATGTAGCTGTCATGACTGATATTAAGGCAGCTGTAGGACATGGGCCAGAGAGTGCGCTGAAGCCAGAGCTGCTGTCAACTGCCGAGAACCTTGTTTAGAAGTGAACGTTACCTACCCTAAAGGAATGCACTACTCTCCTCCACCATATAGAAAAGTCATCTGCACGTAGTGTTACACAATACATTCTCAATCATGTATTTTTTTCTTGGACCAGTAAAAAAGTACCAAAGGCTTTATTTATTAAGAACATCTGAACAGAACGTGTGTCAAATGTAAACACATGGTTATTCACTAAACTGTGAAATCACCTGGAAATCGTAAAGTTTAGGCAAAAATTGCTGAACTGGAAAGTCAGCTATATTTCCAGCACAGTCATTTTGGCCTTAAAGTAACATACCAGCTCTCGTAACAACATTATGCCATTAAATTCCTGTTTGGTGTCTTAAAGTTCTGGGCATCATGTTTTCTTATGTGGTTATATTATTTTTGGATAGTTTAACTTAACCCATAGGTTGTCCTCCAAGCGTGTTTGCTCCGTTTTTTACTTTCCAGCACTAGTAAAGAAGATTTTTATTATAATTTTTTTAGCATAGATCGGAAACTTGTCACTGACTCCTGCAGAAAAATATTAATTTCTGGTGCCAGTTGAGGACCCAAAGGGTCAAAGCAGACAGGCAAAGGGAGGTTAAACTGTTACACTTTAACCTCATAAGGTAAGATGGCATCCAGGACCTCAAGAGCCCATAACATACATTTTAGGTTGGAGTGCTTTTTTAAATCTTCAATTTCCTAGTGACTTACTGCCAATTCACGGTTTTGTGAATACCCCCTCACAGTCTGGTTTCAGGTACCCCTAGTGACATATTTGACATTTCATCCTATGCAAAAAAAATTTTTTTGTTTTTTTTGTTTTGTTTTTTCAAACTTATCAAGACCAGTGATGTTACATTTAATTCAAATATCACAAGATTTTCTCGGTCCTGAAGGGATTAGCTTTTGGAATGGGCAACATAAACCTGCATTCGAATATTGGGTTTAGAAACTGTTGGAAAAACATCTGTGAAGAAAACTAAAAAAGAGGAATGATTAATCTGGTTCTTTTCTGCAAACAGTGTTACATTGAAAGGAACACTATAGTATTCCTGACAGTATAGTGTTAAACTAGTTAGGTGACTGGTCCTCCTGTGATCGCATGGGAAAGGTATGTTGTCTTGCCGCGACTGGCTCCTCACTGGCTGAGTTATCAATTTTGATCTCCGGCAATCCAATTCTTTCCTGTAGGAAAGCATTGGGAGGCTATTGCGTATGCTCTTCAAAACACACACTGCACCAATCATCATCTCCTCATAGAGATGCATTGAATCAAGGCATCTCTATGGTGAGTGTTCAATGCCTCCATGCTTGGCTTGAAGACTCTGAACAGCAGCCCTGGACTATGAAGCAGGCCAAGTGGCCATCTGAGTGACTGCACCTAGAGGTGTTAATAGACACGTTCTCTGAAAAGGCAGTGTTTTACACTGGAATGCCTCCAGGGACATACTATAGACACCAGAACTACTACATTGAGCTGCAGTGACTCTGGTAAATATATAGTGTCCCTTAAATGTTTTTAAAAAAAAATAAATGGAGCTCTGACTGCTGTACATTCTTCATGTAGTACACGTGTATTTGCAATCGTGTTATAGACTTATGACTGTATTCAAGCAGCCTATATGTTGGTATGTATGGCATCTTTGGAAAAGCTATCAGTACCACTCCAGACAAATTATAAGGTGGAAACAGAACACTAAAACCCGTGGTTATACACTAAGATGAGCTCTCGGAATTTATTAGGCTACATGTTTAGTATCCCAGTGAATTCGCAAAACAGCTCACCGACTCAGTGTGTTGATGCTCATGGGATAACATACACTTGTTTTTTTGTTTTTGTTTTTTCCTTCATTTTATTGAGAATTTTAATTAATGTCACTTTTAACAAAGTTGTAATGTTGAAAGGTGCTTTATGTAGTGAAATCAGAAACATGTTAGGATCTGTCAGATTTAAGTATTTTAGGTGAAAGGGTTGAAAAAAATGTGGAACCAAAACGAGTTTTTCTCAAGATATTTTATTTACTGTGCACAAAAGCAATGGTTATATAACAGAAATATATATTTATTTTATATCTTTAGCCATGTCACATTTTGCTTAAACTGGGTGTTCTACTGAAGTCTAAATTACTAAACCAAGTTTTAATATTTTATGTACAGGAATAATTTATTTGATATATTACAAAAACAAATAAAATGTGCTTATTCATAACGCCACTTTGTTGTTTTCAGTAAGTACCAGGACTGGTGTGCTGTAAAACGATATTGATAAAGCATTTTTTTTTTTTCTATGAAAAACAATAATTTGATATATGCCCCCAAAGTTGATATGTATGTAATTTGATTTGCATATTTTCTTTGGTTGTATATGAAATCTCGGTTTGCAATAACTGCCGATCTGTAGGCAGACAAACAAAATTTTGCATCAGCAAACACTTCCCTTCTTCCCCAGTAAAGACTTTTTTTTGGTAATTTAATTTTTTATTGAGACATGTTTAGATATACAAGCCAGACAAAGTAAGCATACATCAGTACAATAGGTGCAATAAAGGCTTAATAAACGTGATGCATATGGCTACACATTGCCTCATTTTTAGGAATATATCAGTTAGTGGACTTTTCCAGATGCAAGAGGTTAATACAATGAGATAAACAATTCTACGGTTACTTGCTAACTGAGAATGGATTAAGTAGAGATAAATATTGTAAGCTTAAACCTGTGCCAGCTCAGCTTGTGTAGGACTACTAGGAGAGAAACTACAATGAAGAGCTGGAGTGTATCACTAATAGAGAATATTTCACCCAGGAGACCCCACCCCACCCCCCAACACTGAGGTATGAGGTAAGAAATGCCCATATCTGAAACATCTAAAGGTAGACTAGAGAGCCCCACAAGAACTGAGGAAAACAAAAAGAGAAAAGGTAAACCATAAATAAAAAAAATGAATGTTACTGGGAGCGATAAGTAGGTGCATGGTGTAAGCATGTGGAGGATAGGCACGGTGGCACAATAGCCGCAAGATACACAGTTCAGCCAACACCCTCCTGCGGTATAGCGCAGTCCCGATCAGGTCTGGCATCCTGCATGCCCCACAACCCCTGTATTGGCAGGTGCAAAATCCAGTTGTTACAGCAAGGTAAACCTATTAACATTGTGTTCCGTCCCTCCAGGCTAAGGTAGGATCAGACCTGCGAGGCTCTCGGCCCTTATAGTGGGCCACGTGCTGCTGCCACCAATACAGATTGCTTCCGCCTGGAACGCCCTCCACAGAGCTGGAGTTGGTGTCTTCCACTTGATCCCGGGTGGTAAGCTTCGGGGTGGATGACCACTCCTTTCCCGCTGCACAGGCTGTTGCAGTCGGCGGTTCAGCTTGCCCCAGAAGTCAGCAAGGATTTTGTTGAGTGTGCAAGTGAGGTTAGATTGTGTCATGTCCTTGTCAGCTCGACACGGGGCATCCGCCATTTTTGATAAGTCTACCCTTCTGTGCGGCAGTACAGCAGAGACTCTGAGTTGCAGTAGGGTCTCCAGGCCGAGGGCCGAGATCACCCCCACCGGTCCAAAGGGAGGGGGAGGGAATGAGGCCAACACCACGCAGTGCCAAAGGATCGGCTAGACACTGTTGAGCTGGATAGCAGGATGGTGGCCGTTCCACCCCACTCACAGCTTGGGTAGGCCTCACCCATGAAGTCGACAAATCGCCCTCCTAGGGGCCAAAACTCTCATTGAAAGCCTGGCTTCGGCTCTTGAACCCAGTAGTCAGGAATCGGAATCAGCAGGAGCTGATCTTTCATGCAACCATTCAGCATGGTGATTTGATGCATATTGTTTGAAACTCAACCTCCCTTAAAGGGCTACTATAAACCATACCATACATACAGCCTATCAGGAGCAGACTAAACACTTGAGAAAATCGGTCCTGGGGGCTCGTCTTTCTTCGATTGGTCAATCCTAAATTGGCTGAGTTCAGAGAACTGCCTAAATGCCTCGGGGAAAGCACTGAAGAATGGGCATAGGGTAAAACTAAAAGGTGTATTGAGATGTGAAAGATGTATTTAGGAAAGACACTAAAAAGGGGCGAGCAAGGGGTTTTAAGGAAAGATAAATAATGGAGGAATGGGTGCATTAGACTGGGTGTCCAGGACCTAATTTTGACCCTAAGCCCCAAAGTTCTGTTACTCTGTCCTTGCAGCATACTGATTTGGTTATGATGCAAGAAGTCTTTGGCAACCTAGGATGAACGCAGTGGGCTGCAAGCTTTGGGAGAGGGTTAACCCAGACCTGGCAACCTACAATTTGGTGTTTACTGAACCTTTCAAATTTAGATCAAAACATCTGCTTTGTAAGCAAACATTTCCAACTTTGCTAGTCACAGCTTGGTTAATTTAGGCAGAATTTCGCAATTCAGTTTTCTATTTATCGTAATTTTCTGTTTAGTCAATGAGTTGCAGATAGACTCCTAAATGTATAGCAACATTTTATTTTTCTATATTTGTCAATGGTAGCATTCAACTAAAGATTCCAGGTTAGGTGCTGTGGCCCATGATCTCTGTTTAAGAGACATTATAGCTTGCTCTTTAATTGCAGGCGTACCTCTATGGGTACTATGTGTTGGCCGCTTCCCAGATGTCCATCGAATGGGGATCCCAGAAGTCAAGTACATTGCAAATATCCATGGAAATGAGGTACACAATATGATATTTTGAGGTGCAACTTTATAGACATCCATGGTGCCAATCAAAAATTTGCGTACAGTTACTATTTACTGCTGTTCTAAGTGTCCCTTTTAAGAGCTGGAAGTTAATCTTTAGGACCACCATTTGCCCCCCTTTTCTAGGAGCTCAGAAATGTTTGTACAACAGAACTTCAAGGTAACTTGTCTTTTCCAGTCCGTTCTCATTAGGTTCTAGAATTACCTCTTAGCAACACCTCCAGCCTCATACCCAAAGCAAGTATGCCCCTATTTGGTCCTTTGAAATGTTATAGTTGTAGCAATTGTGGGGTTTATTTACTAAACTGTGAATAGTAGTTAATTGTAAACTGAATTGCAAAAGTCTCAGAAATCATCAGTCTTTAACTGCAATGGAATTGGAGATATTTTTCTTGGAAGTCTGTTAATTTGGCCTAGATTTTACAATGCGGTTTTCAATTCCTTTCAATTTGCTGTGTAATGGATAACCTATTTTTAACTGAAAATGTTTTCCATCATAAAAACTTTTTGAAATTCATTAAAAACAAAGCAGGAATATTGGAGAGCTGTCTGATTAAAATGAGGAATGCGTAGGACAACACAGTCCAATGACCTTGCCTGCCCAAAGTAAAAGTACGTAGGATCTCTATGGGAAACATAGAATGTGACGGCAGATAAGAACCATTCGGCCCATTTAGTCTGCCCAATTTTCTAAATACTTTCATTAGTCCCTGGCCTTATCTTATAGCTAGGATAGCCTTATGCCTATCCCACGCATGCTTAAACTTCTTCACCTCTACCACTTCAGCTGGAAGGCAATGCCATGCATCCATTACCCTCTCAGTAAAGTAATACTTCCTGATATTTTTAAACATTTGCCCCTCTAATTTAAGACTATGTCCTCTTGTTGTGGTAGTTTTTCTTCTTTTAAATATAGTCTCCTCCTCTACTGTGTTGATTACCTTTATGTATTTAAATATTTCTATCATATCCCTCCTGGGAGATTTTGAGACCATATTCAAGGTTCTAGCAGCACAGGTACGTTTCGGGTTGTGATCTTGCTGTGGAACATAGGACTGGACAAGGTGTCAAGAGACTGTTGTATAGGACCAGCCTCTGAAGTAAGATATAACAGCCATACTGGATGATTGAGTGTTGGGTTTGGTAAAGCTCACCAACTATTTGATCATTGGGTCACTTAATGGTCTGGTGTAATTTACTTACATAAACCAATGACCAATACATTTATTACAACTGTATATTGCTGCATGTTAATCGCATGTTCTGAACTCCTAGAAAAAGAGGGCCTCTTAAAAAGGGACACTTTGTATTTTCTGTGAGTTATAATATGTTCCTATTACTCAATTCGACAATGCTCATTTTATTGCTGTTGGAAGGATAACATGTTGAGTCACACTGACATGTGGGCAGATTCAGCAGCCAGTTTACTGACCTGCTGACTATGATGTAATCTATAAAAACATTCAATTGTTTTCCATGGTGACTGATCCACATTAAGCACCTTGCTCCAGATTTGCTTTGAACGCCTGTAACCCAATTTACCGGAAGGCCCTTAACCACAATGTCTACTCTTATAGGGGTTGCTAAACCCTACTCCCCAATGCCCTCACGGAAAGATCTATACTCCCAGACACACAGATACATATGTTAGAATAGAGATGTGACTTTTTGTTCCCGTCACCTTCACACACACTGCGCGGTAGCTGTGCACTGGGTTTTCGGAGTCCTGGCAGGAGAAAGAGCTCTCACTCTCAGGACGCCTCTCGACCACACTAAATTAATTATTGGCACTGCAGCCAGCAGTTAAATTATCAGACAGAATGGCCACTTGGCAATGGTTGACAAGTGCCAAGTGTGTGACCAGACAGCCTGGTAAGAAAAGATGCTGGAAACTGCACCCACCGGACAGTGGTTTGAGACCCCTGTTTTGTAGCCTCACCCATCCTTTAAATTAACCAATATGTAAATGTCTGATCATCTCTCTTGTTTTTGCAGCCTGTAGGCCGAGAGCTCTTGCTTCATTTTATTAATTATCTTGTGCACAATTATAAACACAATGAAGACATCGAAGCTTTGGTAAACAGCACCAGGATTCACTTTCTGCCAGCACTGAATCCCGATGGCTTCAAGACCTCTGTCCCAGGAGACTGCCAGGGAAGTCAAGGGAGGTAATTCTCAGGAAAAGTCTTATTCTCGGGATTCTCAGTATTTGGTCCTTGGGATCATAGGGCACACAGAAAACCAACCCACTGCTGCCAAAGAGTTAGAGCACTGTTATTAAAAAATTAATAACTCCGACGCAAAGTTGAAATGTTGATGTACTAGTTAGTGCTACCACATCGTTTAAAGGAATACTATAAACAAAAAAGTATTAATGTTTCAGGACACAGTACTTTTTCAATGTACAAAGCTCCCAACATAATGTAAAGTAACACACCAATTTCAATACACACGACCCACCAAAAACAAGAAAACATGTCCACCATAGTCCATAGAGCCCACAAGAGCACAGAGTCCCAAAAAATTGAAAGAAGTCCAAATACGTGATGTGAGCTATTTGCCTCCT